ATAATGCTGCTTGCTAATGCACATTTCTTAAGCACTTGGGACCCTTCAAATGATTTTTACAAGAATTCTGAAGAGCAAAACACAGTAGACAATAGCTGGACACTGAGTTTTAATATTGAAGATTGGCTTGTTGAGCAGTTAGTGAACTTTTAATATATTTTGGCAAACTGTCCATATTTTCATTTCCTGTTCTATCAAGGGCAATATGCTTTTGAACAAATATTGCACTGTCTGATCATTGCTTCTCTTTAGAGAGATTTGGGATATTCAGGAAATCATGTATAACACCAGCAACTGTGAAAGACTTGATTTAAGAACTCTCAGGCTGAATCTGGAAGTTATATCAGCTGGCAGGAACTTTTGATAAGATCTTGGAGAGTTCTTGTCATTGACAGTAAACATAGTGAGTCTGGCTGTGAAGAGTTTTGTATTTGAGGAGAGGGTATGTGTTTGACAATCCCAAAGTTTTGTGTAATGTTGATGGGACAATTGGACAGTAGTTAATCTCATACTGTATAATCATCAGGGGGGAAAAACCTTCCTTTTTCATTTCTGACCAGTTTAAATTTTTACTATTAATCAAATAATTTAATATTATACTTTATTAATATCTGTAAATATGAATTTCTGTTCATAGGTTTCACAAGCTGCAGCTGATCTAAAGCAGTTTTGCCTTCAAAATGCACATCATGATCCTTTATTAACAGGAGTTTCATCGAGTACAAATCCATTCAGACCACAGAAAGTCTGTTCTTTTCTCTGATTTGGTGAGCCACTGGAATCCTTCACTTGTAAGACTTTTAAAGTTAACCATGACTTGAGTTTCCCTAAAGCAGGGTGGAAGCAGAAAATAAACATGAAATAAGAGGCTTAACATTTTTTAAAAATAATCTTCCCCAATCTGCTCCTTTGAAAACCCTACCCTGATTTATATATCTCCTAAAAGGCATTAAGTGTCGGTCCCCCCAGGCATCCAAAGGTTGCCACCCTTGTCCTCAAGTATAGTGGTTCATGATGTATCCTTCAAAATATGTTAATGTTTTTCCGTAAGCTGATTTTATACAGGTTTTCTGGGAAGTAAGTCCCTCTTTATTTGGCACTTACTTCCTGGTAAGTATCAGATTGCACCTTAAGTTTTTACTTACATTTCTAGTGTAACAAAAGTAACTTTTTTATTGAAAGATATATGACAAATATTTAACCATTAATTTATTACAATTTTGAATTCTGAACTATAATTCTTCACAATAAAGTTTATTTTTATCGAAAGAGGTAAAGAATCCTGAATGTTTAGCTTGACTTGCAATGACTACATGCCAAATGCATGCAATTTTCGTTGTAATAAATGGATGGTCATTGCATTTGGCATGGAAGTTTTTTTCCCAGACTAGTCTAAAGCCCTGGAATTTCCTGATGGTTTCCCATTCAGGTGGTAACCAGATCCAACTCTACTTAACTCTTTCAGGATCTATCAGGCTTGGCTAGGTGCCATTACCTGATCTCTTTATGGAAATAACATAAGATACAGGTAGTCCTATGACCATTTGTTTAGCAACTGTTCAGAGTTATGACAGCACTGAACGAATGATAGTTTTGACCGGTCCTCAGAGTTCCAGCTGTCTCAGCACCCCTGCGGTCGCATGATCGCGATTTGGCTGTTTGGCAACCAGTTCATGGTTATGACTAGTTGCAGCACCTGGCGATCACATGGTCACCATTTGCAACCTTCCCTGCCAGCTTCCCCAGAAAGTCAATGGGAAGCCGGCAGGAAAGGTTGCAAGTCACTGGGTGGGGTAAGTCTCCCCCACCTGTGAACCCCCCAGCCCCTCTGCACTTGTGCCAACCATTCATGCACCCTCCCTGACCCGTGCCTCTTGTGCACTTCCTCACACCCTCCTCGACCACCGTGCCTCTCCCGCACACCCCCTTCCCGACCCACACCCCTGCCCTGACCTGTGCCTCTCACACACATCCATGCACACCCTCCCCAACCCATGCTGTGCCTCTCACATACCCCCTCACAGCCTCCCCAACCCTCTCATGCATCTCTTTGCACCCCTTCACTCCCTCCCCTTCCTGGTAACAGCCAGTTAACCTGCCTGCTGGCCTGGGAGTTACAGCTTCCTGCCAGCTTCCCCACTGACTTTAGTTGTGGGAAGCCAACAGGAAGTTGCCTTGCCTAACAATCGTGGGATTTGGTTAACTACGGAAACTGGGACTGCAGGGATTGTTGTCACCAAGCAGTGTGGTTATCCTTTATGACCACATTGCTTAGCAATGGAAATTCTGGTCCTAGTTGGCGTTGTAAATCGAGGACTACCTGTAATTTGAACCCTGATAGTGGTTTTTATACAAGGTGCTGAATCTTGTACAATTCCATGATTCATTTATTTTCTTTTATAGTACTTTTATGCTATCCATTAACAGTTCTCTGGATGGTATTTTGTCACTGTTACTGATCTCCACTTCTAAATAAGTTCCCTGGTAGACCAGGCAAATCCTGTGTTTATTTTTTTTTCTCACAATGATGGTGTCACCTTCAAAGCTGCCAAATTTTCTTTCAGACTTTGTATTATTGGGAAACAGATAGTGAAACATGACAATTCTACAAATCTGCCTAGAAGCAACTGATGTTATTCAGCAATTTTAAAATTGCATGTTGTTTTATATTAAGGTTATTGTATACATTATATATAATATTTATAAAATGGAGTAATTTTATATTATTCCATTTTATAACTGAAAGCTTTTCTGTTATACCCTTGCAAAATAGTTTTTGTGAGTTAATGATTTCGTTTTCGGTAATTAACTTTTTAGCTCTCTTGTATTTCATTGCTACATTTTTCTTTCCTAATTCAATCAGAATTTTTAATATATTTCCATGTAAACCCTATTACGAAACTGTGTTATTCTGGTCAGTGACCAGCATAGAGATGTTCTGTTCTGGATGGTATGCAGTCAATTCAAACATACAAAATCTACTTAGAGAATAGCCTAACATGGCAAATACAAAAAAGCCAAAAATAATGGCTGAATAGCAAAATTGTAACACACCAACAACTTCTAGAGTGCCTGGAAATATAAATTTTAAAAAAGTATTCACTTATTGTCAGAAAGGACAATAATGGGGGTGGCACAATCTCACCTCTCTGGGTTTTTTAATAAGCCTTTGCTGAATATTCTCATAGCTGTAGAACTGCATATGAAGGCATTCTGTTAATGCCTCTTTATAGGATTTTGTAACACAGCAGATTCTCCATATAACTTTAAAAATTATGTAGTCACTACAGAAGACATAACTGCAAAATATGCCTAGCCTGACTAAAGTATTTAACTAGCATTGGATAACACAACAAACTAAGCAGTTCTGGTTTGCTGAGGAGAAACCATCTTAGCTAGTAATGTGGCCATCTTTACAATACTGTCTTTGCCTTTCTAATTTTTTCCTTGTTGAAGTAAAAAGGAGTATTTCTATGGCGCAGACAAAGTGTGGGACAACTCATTTTCTGTCCCCGTCTCTCAAGCACACATGCACAATTATGGGAAACAAATGTGAGAAAAGGGTAGGGGAGTTAGGAGCCCCATTTTGTGCTGTTTGTGTCCTATCTCTTGGTTTGGAAGCCAGTAAAGGTGGGTGATAAAGTTTAACCACAAGGTCATTTTCACTTATGTTAAATGTGAACATGGCTAGAAACTGATTTCTTTGGTGTACAGGTAGTCCCCAGTTTAAGAATGAGATCTGTTCCCAAGGTCTGTCCTTAAATCGAATTTGTATGTAAGCTGAACAGTATTGTATAATACTCTATAAGTAGTATTGTGTAATTAACTCGAACAATTGTGCATTTAACTTGAATTTTGCTACAGTAGGCTCTGTTCTTAACTATGGGTCATCTTTAAACCGGGTGTTTTTAACCCAGAAACTACTTGTATTTTGATTTGTTGTAGTGTATTGCAAACTGCTACTAAAATCTTGTCATCAGTTTAAATGTTCTCTAAACATTTGTCAGTAAGTAACGTACAACTTAGATATTATGCTTAGATTTGTTCAGTGACTATGCATTCTTCTGTCTCTTGCAGATTTAACAACTTTTCATAGCTGGTTATATTGAATATGGAAATGAAGCAAGGTGGCTTGGAACCTGTACAGAAACTTTGTATTAATGTGCCAACTTTTGAGCTTGTAAGATTGCTATTGTTTCAAAACCCCTTAAAATCTACCTCTCTAAACAAGCTGTATGCTAGTTGCTATAACTCTGTATCATGAGGGAATCAATTTTATATTCAAGCAATAAAGAGTTGACTTAAATGATTTTTAAAGTTAGCATAAAGTATTTCAACTTGTTCTAATACTTTCAATTGTATCCAAAGCTTCACTATTTTTCTAAATACTGTAAAAGTCAGCACATTTTGTAAAAATATTCCTGCTTTTCTAAAACAAAATAGCATCTTTGTCTAAATGAATTAATGGTTTACAATCAGTATAGTACTCTTCATTGTTTCTGCTCTAGTTGTCATATAGTCGTAACTAATTTGGAGTTAACTGTGTTTGCCTCTAGAAGCATTCTAAATTATGAATATCCTTCCATAAGACTACAAATAAATAAATAAATAAATGCCTTGTTATACACTATTTACAAACCTAATAAATTCCATTTTATGTTTTAAAAATCTTTTGTATCAAGCTGGATTGGCATAAATTAGCAAAGAGCCAAAAGATTGAAATTGACGATTAAATACTAACAGAGCAAGAATATTATGTAGATCTCTTAAAATAGTTTTGAAACAAACCCTGTGTAATCTTAAATGCCTAATTACATAGTTTTTTTCTTATTTCCAGATCCATAATTTATCATGCCTGGCAGGTCAAAGCAAGATTTGATTGGTACCTGAGTTAACTGTACCAGTTTATATTATGTGCAGAGGAGATACTGTTAAGTGGAGTGTAAACACTCATTTGTAACTATTAGAATTACATAGAAAAACTTTCTTAACTTTCTGAATTCCATGGAGAACATTTATTTAATTTTCTGATCTGAACAGGCTGACTTTTAAGCTATAGTTCAGTTTTATATCTCAGCTCCTTTCCTTTGTATATCTGGGAGATATTTAGTTAAAAATAGGGAGCACAGAGTTTACCATTATGTCCAAACTGGGAAGTGCTTTGTACTACCTATAATTTATATAATATATAAATATGCAATACATATATTAGTGCTAATGTAAGTGCAGTTAGTTGGAAAGAGAATAAAATGCTTGTGAACTTACGTTCCTATCTGAGAGCTAAAGGGAGTATATACGTACAAAGGTAATACGTTTGTTAATCTGTAGATTAGAATTACAGATAAACAGAGTAATATTGGTCAGATTATATTCAAGAGAACTTTGGTTTTGTCTCAATCCTTAAGGAAGCCCTGTGATTATAGATGACAGAACTTCCATTATCTCAGGTTTCATTAAGATGGACAGAGAAAATGGGGTATTGTGCTAATTCCTTTTCCCATTTTTAAAAAATAAAACACAGATTCATTTCCCCATTTATTCTTTGCATAGACATTTGGCCCAATATTTCAGTTCCTCATCTAGTTTTAAAGTAACTTAAGTTTAATTTAGCTTACTGAAAGTCCAATATAATCAAAGATTGTCTAGCCATTTTCTAGATCTGGAACTGTATTTTATTTTTCTGCATTAATAATTTACCCCTGAACACTCACCAATACGTGGTAATAGCAATCCTTTGACATGTAAAATGTTTATTTTTGATAAATAACATATCCAACATAAACCTTAAGACGCATAACTAGATATACTCTAATTCAGAAGTAGCTGTGAAACAGTTGTAAATTACAAAACATTATTTCTGAGAAGGGTCCATGACTTCTTAACAAAAGAAGATAGCAGCTGATGTTGTCTCTTTCCTCTAACTTGAAGTCTTCTATTATTTATAAACAGTAACTCAGAGTTTTCAGCACTAAAGAGAACAGTTTGACAGAAATGGCCATTTGGGGGGTTTCCATGTAGAACCTGAATATCTTTAAGGGTATTCCAGACTCTCTTGTTAGCATGTCAAAATAACTGAAATGGCATCTCTGTGTTTGTTCTTATAAGTGAAATTTTCTTCGGCTTGTGTCCATTTCACGGCGCTGAAAGACAGCAATATTTATTAGGGTTTGCTACAACAAATATAAATATTTGTAAATTCCTATAATAGAATTCAGACTCTGGGGCAATAAGGAAGCTAACACCAATTTACAAGTCAGCCTAGGTTTAGTCTGGACCTTAATTCTTAAAGAATGTCCAGTAATAAAGATTTACTGGACAAGATCTTAAGCACATAGGAAGCCATCAGACTTCTGTTCACCCCTTCATCTGGGGACATTCACTGCCTTCTGACAACCTTCGAGCCTGGAACTCAAATAGAAATATTTTCAATATAATAATGTAAATGCAAAGACTTCATTTATATCCCTCCTCCACACCAGCTTATGCATATTTACACAGAATTCACATTTGACTTGCTTTAATAACCTGTTTTATTTTTCCAGATGTTTTTAAATAAGTCTTAAAATGCATTGATCTGAGAATACTGCTTTGAACACAGTATTGCTCTAAATAGATGAGGCCCTCTTGACTATGCTAAAAGCCATCTAATAATTTATAGCACTCTGACTCTGTTCCCCTTCAATTATATTTTGAATGTTTTTCTTTTGATAGCTGACTGCCATGAGATATCACAAAAATACCTTTGAAAGCTAGTGTCTCTAATACAGGTTGGGCATCTGCCAAAAATATATGTTAGAAATTGTTCTTACTATTCTTTAGAATGTGATTGCTGTAATCTAGGCTTAACATTTTTAAGAGTGGCCTTTTTATTAATGAAATCTATATGGGAATGTTGACGGGTCAAGTGTTTAAATAATATCTCAATTATAATCATAGGTAGTGAGAACATGAGAATAATCCTGCTGGATCAGACCTAAGGCCACCTAGTCAATGTTCCATTTCACAGAGTGGCCCACCAGATACAACTATGTAACATGCAAATAGGAAATCAAGGCAGCCCCCTCGTCGTTGCTCCCATGCACCTAGTGTATAAAGGTAAACTTGCCCCTACATATTACATGACAGTTTGTAAGGAATTCCTTAACTGCAAAATTCAGTCAGATATCAGCAATATATGAGACTCTGCAGTGCTTTGTTGAGGGATAATACCTTGTGAATCCATTCGTATTCTCCAAACTTGGAGTCAAAAGTTCCCTTTTGAAGAGACCTTAATTTTAGGGTAAAACGTGGGCCTAGTTCTTGAATGGCGACTTTTTTCTCATTTTTGAAGATGTATCTGTTAAAGGCAACATGCAGCATTAACAAAGGAGTTATACAAAAATCACTTATAATTGCTTATAGTATAAATGTTCAAATACTTGCTTACCTATGAAATCTGAAAAAGATATAATCACGCTGATTGTGAAATGTAGCTACTTGTCTGCCAACAAACTGAGGATCATGAGGAAAGAGAGAAGCCAACATGCGACCAATGGAATGCCCCAATCGTGTCGTAAAGTTATTCAGGATTATTTCAGGCTGATGTTCTGTGGGATTTTTCCCTTTTCGCTAAAATTAATGATGAAAACTTTGTATTAAATGTTAATGTTAACAAGCAGAGAAACTGACTGCTGGAATAAACTCACCTTTATTTCTTTACGTAGACGAACACTGCTCATCCTAAAATGAGCAGTTGGGCCTTCAGGCAAATGACTTAATACAAGCCCATCTATTTCAAGTGTGTTAAGATAAAATTAAAGGTGTGATTAAAGCTAATACAATTTATGCAGAAAACTTTTTTTCCCAGAAAATCAAATAAAACAAATTTTTGTACTTTGTATTTCATGTGCAGCTTTAGTTTTTACTAAACATGCTGTACAGAAACAACTATTAAATCCTTTCTCTCGTAATCCAATAGTAAATTTGCTGCTCTATAAAGATGTTGATACAAAAGGCACTACATAGTTTTCATGAAGGATACTTGGTATTTTACGATCTTCATTGATAACAATCAGATCTGTGAAATCCCTTGAGATACATTGTGGAATAATTTTTTTTAAAGCCAGTCCTCTTCGATAGTAAACATGTGAATTTGGAATGCATGTTGATAACTGTTCACAGAATCTCACAGTTCTCTGCCAAAAAGAAAAAAAAATGCAAAAGGTTTAGGTATAATTTTTATTTCCACATATAAAAAAATCCAAGATTAATGAAAGATGGCCGTCTTTCTTTACTCCTGTGAGGAAACTGGGTATATACTTTAGACAGTCTCTTTCTTTATATAAGGAAAGGATACAACTATTTTCTGGATTATGTTTAATGACCCAGAAAAATTTGCAGGAAAGAAATACACTGTATCTGCAGTTCATGAAAAAATTAGTGTGACATGCTGGCAGATGAGACAAATACATCCAATTTTGGAAGTAAAAACTGATAAGACATTACCTTCTCTCCCACTGATGAATTTATGCATTCTGATTTTTTAAATACAAGTTTACCAATAAATATGCATTTTGAGTCATTAAATGCAGTATTTTTAATGTGTATGTCTGTATCTACACATACACACACAAACATTCAATTTTGGCTATAGTACAGTACCCATAAAATTTAAGGCAACAGTGACTGGTTGCTATAAAATTATTAAATGGTTATGTTTAATGCATTTCTCTATCTCTCTCACATACACACACACACACCGGTTTACCAAACAGTGTATTATAGCTAATACATTCCGCAATATATATAGTTAATATATTCCTCAATCAAAGCAAAATATTATCAGTTTTAAAAAGTTAATTTACCCCACGAGGTCTGTCAGATGTTGTGATAAGAATTTTGGGAACAGTTTGCCTATTGAAGTAAGGAGCAAATTCATCTGTAGCTTCATCCAAAGTAACCTGGGAATATATAATGATGCCTATTGTATGAAATTGCAATGATATAATTAATTTATAGGAATAAGAACCTTCCATCTAAAAGAAATAAAAACCAGCAGCTCTGTTCTTGTCATTTATAATTTACCTGTTGCAATAAAAATTATCTAAACAGAACTCTTAGAGACAATCTTAAATACTATCTTGCATCAAGCCCTTAAATATAAGATTATAAAAATAGTACAGTAGGCGCCTTTAGGCTTCTGCTTAGATACATTTTAAAAATTGGAATGTAAGAGTTTCCTCTTACTAAGCCATTTGTCTAGGCCAACATAATCTACTTTGTCAGCAAGTTTCTAATCTTTCACATCTAATTTTAATTACATACGCCAGATTTTAAATGTGGCTGATCTGCGAGAAAGTATTTTCAGGCAAAAACTTAGTTTTAGAAAGAAAATTCTGAAAAACTGAATGGTGAAGAAATGGATTGCATGAATTTCAGATAAGTATCCTGCCAACTGTTACTATATATTACAGAAAAGAGAAGATGTGTGCCCAAATTCATTGGCCTAATTATTTATCTGGCATTTGTTTCCTTTAAAATGCTTAAAAGAAAACTACTACCTCTTCATCATTTGGATCAACTGTGGTTTCATCATACACACGCTGGTTTTCAATGGTCTTTGGTTCTGGTTTTGGTGGTGCCTATAAAATATAAGTTCAAATCTGAAATGGATAGACAACTTCATACGCAACTACTGCTCCATTTAAAATATTTAAAAATATTAATGTAGTTTAGCATTAGCATCAAAAACACTAGAAAAAGGGTAGGCAATTTAAACAGCAAGAACATAGCAAATTGATCTGTGAGTTGCAGAACAAAATAAATGGAGGACAGCAGATTACCCATCTAGTAGCCAAAGTTTCAAACAGAGTGGTAGTGCAGTGCAAGCTAACTTCTTGAAAAGGGCAAATTCCTTGCTAGGGATCATTAAGAAAGGAACTGAAAATAAAACTATCACTACTGTTAAAGCCTTTAAAGAAATCAATGTTGCAACCATAATTAATATTACATTTCTAATCACTGGACATCAAAAAGAATACTGTACACCAGAAAATGCTGCAAAAAGTTACAAAATGATTCAGGTCTTATAACAAAAAGAAATAATTGAGCAACATGCATGTTTTAAAGAAAGTGGATTAGAAAAAGGTTTTCTTCCTCTTTTACACTACTTGAGCACAAGGCCATCTAAAGAAATTGAAAATAGGACTGAGTTCAAAACAAAACAAAGTCATTCTTGACAGAGCACAAACATAAAATGTCAAATTTATGATTACAGGATGCAGAGGCAATGATGGAGGATAAGGCTATCATTGACTACCAATCATGATAGCTATACATTACATCCAGTAATAGATGGATGCCTTTTAATACCAATTTGCAGACAACATGAATGAAATTGTGTTCTGCTTGTGGGCCACTAACTGAATAAAGCGCTATGGCAAATTATAATTGATCTGATTAAGCATCTTTCTGTCACTAACTTCCTTTTTACCTTATCTCCAAGAGCTTCCCGCTCCTTCTTCCTCTTTTTCTTAAGAGCTAATTTTTCCTGTAGGAGGAAGATGAACAAAAGAAAATAAAATGAGATGGGGTATAAAAAAATATATGGGGTATAAAAAAATAATATAGTCATATGACACATTAAAAGAGCCACCACACTGAATTACAACTACAGATCATACAAAAGAGAACCCACCATGCATTGCTCTAAATTCCCCTGGTTATATTGTTTCTTCTCGTGGCTCTGAGGACAATTTACTTCTCAATCTTTGGAAACCCCACCGAGCTCCTTAAGGGCTCCACTTCTCTTATTTTATTCACTTCTGTCCTCCCTTCCCAATTAACTTTACAACTGCCAGCAACCCTCCCTCTTACTGCTCTGCATGCTCGTGCTTCAACGCAAAACTGATTCAAAGCTCCGCGACCCCTTCCTTCGCACCTTCTTCTGTTGCTGCTTCCAGCGCAGGAACATGAAGTGGCGCCGCTGCTTGTTCTTAATTTCGGAAACACTAAAAGACGGCGGGAACACGGCCTGGCTGGGTTCAGCGGGGTTTCCATGAGCCTTCTCACCACGAACAACCTCACTCGTTTCCTCGCCATCGGGTCGCCCCTGAGACTGTCTCCCTCCCTCAGAACCCCCAGCCATGCCGTCTCTTCAGTGAGTGACCTTTCACCTCTTCGTTCTCTTCCGGGTTATCCAGCGTTCCGTCGCTTGCCTACTGCGCCTGTGCAAGTTTTCCCGTACGGTACTCTCCAATTTAGGAGCGACGCTGTGTTTGCGTGTGAAAGCGTGCTACGGATCAAGTTTATTTAAGACTAAATGAAAGGCTCCTAGCATAAAATATCTCGATATTGACTTGTATGCTTGCCTCTTTTTAAATTACAGCAACCATTTTTTTTTTACAATCTTTAAAGCAACTTGCAAATAACCATAGTAAGAGAGGCAGAGGCGCGAGATAATACGCGCGCATGCTCACAACGCCTTCATCTTTGCCGAAAGTTGACGGGCAGGATTGGAAGATAATTTGCGCATGTGCGAAATAGTGAAGCGAAGAAACGAGACCAAAAGCGAATTTAGGTTGATCCGTACTTGTGAAATTCTGTTGTGTGCGAAATGCGTCCTGACATTCATTGGGAATGGCACTGCTTTGGGAATGATTTTAAAGTTGATTGATTGTGTGCCATTAAGTCATTGTTGATTCTTAGTGACCACATAGATTTCCTCCGTCTTCCATCTGTCCCTAACCTGGTCTTTCTGCCTGCCAGTGGTGCACCCGTGGCCATTGTAACAGTCCATCCAGCTTGCTGCTGGTCATCCTCTTTTTTCCTCTTTCCCAGCATTAAAACCTCCAGAGAGCTGGGTCTTTTTGTAGTGTGTCCGAAGTAGGATCATTTGAGACTGGTCATTTGTGCCTCAAGTGAGCACTCTGGTTTGATTTGTTCGATGATCCATCAGTTTGTTTTCTTGGCTGTCCACCGTATTCTCAGGAGTCTTGCCCGGATTCATCTGGTGTGCTAGTTGTACCCTTTCCTAGATTGGGGGCCCTTCAGACAGTCACTCATGCCCTGGTCAGCTCATGGCTTGACTAGTGCAATGCAGTCTACATGGGGCTGCCCTTGAAGACTACCTGGAAGCTTCAGCTGGTCCAGAATGCAGCTGCGCAGGCAGGCAGTAATGGGCATTTCTCGGTATGCTCATATAACACCCCTGCATCATGAGCTGCACTAGTTGCAGGTTTGTTTCTGGGTGCAATTCACAGTGCTGGTCACTATCTATGAAGCCCTACATGGCATAGGTCCTGAGGGACAGCCTGTCTCCCATAGTATCTGCCCGGCAAATTCAACCAACACTGGGAATAGCTCTGCCTATTGAATTTATCTAATGCCTTTGGGTGTGGATTTTGTTCATTTGCTAAGAGATTTTCAAAAGTCACAGATCTGTGGAGTCCTTGGGGTTCTCTGAGCTTGGACTCCACAGTTCAACCCTGAGCTATACATACAGTCAGGTCCAGAAATATTGGGACATCGACACAATTCTAACATCTTTGACTCTATACACCACCACAATGGATTTGGAATGAAACAAACACAATGGGCTTTAACTGCAGACTGTCAGCTTTAATTTGAGGGTATGTACATCCAACTCAGGTGAACGGTCGACACAATTCTAACATCTTTGACTCTATACACCACCACAATGGATTTGGAATGAAACAAACACAATGGGCTTTAACTGCAGACTGTCAGCTTTAATTTGAGGGTATGTACATCCAACTCAGGTGAACGGTCGACACAATTCTAACATCTTTGACTCTATACACCACCACAATGGATTTGGAATGAAACAAACACAATGGGCTTTAACTGCAGACTGTCAGCTTTAATTTGAGGGTATGTACATCCAACTCAGGTGAACGGTCGACACAATTCTAACATCTTTGACTCTATACACCACCACAATGGATTTGGAATGAAACAAACACAATGGGCTTTAACTGCAGACTGTCAGCTTTAATTTGAGGGTATGTACATCCAACTCAGGTGAACGGTCGACACAATTCTAACATCTTTGACTCTATACACCACCACAATGGATTTGGAATGAAACAAACACAATGGGCTTTAACTGCAGACTGTCAGCTTTAATTTGAGGGTATGTACATCCAACTCAGGTGAACGGTCGACACAATTCTAACATCTTTGACTCTATACACCACCACAATGGATTTGGAATGAAACAAACACAATGGGCTTTAACTGCAGACTGTCAGCTTTAATTTGAGGGTATGTACATCCAACTCAGGTGAACGGTATTCCAAATCCATTGTGGTGGTGTATAGAGCCAAAGATGTTAGAATTGTGTCGATGTCCCAATATTTCTGGACCTGACTGTATTCGCCTCTATTAGTCACAGATCTTTCATAAATGAGATGTGGAAAAGCTGTATGTGGGAAGAAACAAAGCAAAGACATTAAGTCATTCTTGGTATAAAATTGATAAATAAGACACCCCCAAAAGTCACTATACTGACATAAATGTGTCTTTATTTGTATACTGCCCAGAGTCGCTTTGTGTGAGATGGGCTATATAAATGTGATATATAAATAAATAAATAATGAATTTTCTGAATGCTACATAGATCTAGTGAACCCACATTTTCAGTGCTTTTATTTGGTCATGTGAATTTGCCATATGTTAAAGGCCACATAAGGCACATTTTAGAACACCAATTCTCAAGAAGATAATCACAGCCAATATTTAGCCAAAAAGATTGTTTTCATCTTATGAATATTATAATTAATATTAATTATTAAATTTATTATAGCCTCTCAAATACTCATCAAAGTATTTGTTTCTTATTTCTAGAGTAGGCTGTAACCCTCTGGACAAAATCTGTGTCACATCTCTCACAGTGTACAGGGTCTAGCACCCTATTGGTGCAATGCAGATTTTTTAACAACAACTATTTCTATAGTGCCATTTGATTGGAAGAACATCTCATTCTATTTTTTATTTGCTCCCCATAAACCATATTAAAAAGTGACTACCTTTACAGGAAGTGGAGCTGATGAGTAATGAGTAATGATTTGATCAGAGGAAATGGAGCCGGTTCTTGTTAAGGTGAAATTGGGGACCCGAGTTATTGCATAAAAGATTGCTCTCATTTTAGAAATACATTTGACAACACAACACATGTTGAAATATCAGAATCTCATCCTATCACCTCAAGATAGTGTTCTATATCTCTCCTAAAATAATTCCTGAACAAGTGTATGTGATTTGCTGAATTGTACTCCACTGTAGCAGGATTGAATAGAGTTTAATAGAAGTGATGTTCCTCTGTTCAAAAATCCACATGTATGCAAGATATCTACTATAGCACTTTTGTTGGGGAGAGAGGAAATGGTGTATTTTTCTGCATATTGTTACATAAAACAAGAACACATTGGGGAAGCTTCATATGCATAAGTTGCAAATAAATACAGATGAAAATTTTCATGGATCTTCAAATGCCCTTTTTTCCCCCACCCCCAAAAGATGATCCAGAATATTGTCCTGCTTATGCATATATACACAAATGCATGCATATTCACACAAATATTTGTGTGTTTATGCTCAAAGGAGCGAATGCCCTGATTTAAAAACTCAGTGATAAAAAAATATAATTATCAGAACAAAACACAAACCTTTCAGTGAAGTATAGAGCCTGTCATTACATTTCTGTGTGCAGAAATTTAAGTTCATTGATCTAAGGTATACTCACTTGTGATTTATTAGATTTAGCTTACCGTGCATATGGGGCTTTAATAAAAATCTTTCTCCAGCTGGAATCCAATTCCCAGCATTTAATTAAGGATATAAATTATGTAAAAACGTGTACTACAATATTTAAGCATAGAGTGAAATAGGACATCAATCAAAAAGCATTTAACTTTCTTTTTCAAAATCTTGCTAATACAGTAAACCACCTACCAGTTTGTCAGAGAAAAGGTTTTTCTTAATGGAATAGCTCCTCAATGGGAATGGTGGCTTCTCATTTTCAAAGTAGGAGGATATAATAGATTTGGAAGTTTTATCGCTTGAAAGCTATACCTTATGCTAATATTGATGATTGTAGGTGAAAGGCTAGTTTTAAGCAGTGAATATTTGAATTAAATTCAATAGCTCTGCCATGAGAAAGTACTCCCACAGCCAGGAATTGCCTAACGCTTTGTCTCTCGGAGTCAGCATTTTCTCACCAGAACAGCCTGTCTGCATATATGGAAAATCAGTTCAGTCCTGGCATTCTATCAGCTGACTGGCTTGCCAGATGAAGGCTCTTAAACCTTCTTGGGAACCAATGTATCTTAAGAAAAGCATCAGAATTAGAGGCAATAAATGAAACATACTGTTGTGCTGCTTCATTTTGTTTTGCAAAATTAAGCATGCTTCTGAAGCACTCTTTATCTGAACAGAAGCTTAGCCCCAAAACCTATAAATGTAAGTTTGTAGGTAAATGTAAACCAGAAATATGTCAGGTAGGAATGAAAGATAATCTGAGAGCATCTACAGAACGACTTACGCATCTGAACTGAAATCCGTAACCAGCTTCTTTAAGCATTTGGCTAATGTGATTCTAAAACCTTTTTAAGACCCCCAAACTATATTTCTCCATCACTTTGTGGAAGTTTCCTTTTTTTTTTTTTTTAAGGTCTAAAGTGTGTTTAGATAGGGAGCAAAGGAGATCTCTATGCTTATATTACTCTTATATGAAGGGATCCTGAGAAATATACTTCAGTGAGGGAATGGACAAAGATTTCTAAAAAAAGTTCTCAGTATCCATGCCAAGCTACAGTTTCTTCCCAAACATCTTTGGGATGTGCCAGGGTTCGAATATCAGTAGGATTCTAGAGTGTAGAAACACACAGGGAACATTATTCTGGGGTTTGTTATTTTGATAGGTCAGAAATGGTTGGGATGTTTATCTCGAAACAAATAACCTGATACTCTCTCAATCTATTTTGTGTACAAACTGCAGCCAAACTGGTCAATTACCTTTACACTAGCAACAGAACAAAGTCCTCTGTCATCCTGGAGGGCAACAGGCTGGCTTTAAGATGGCCGAGCAGAGAGCTTTATTCCCCAGTCGCTTGTTCCCAAGGCAGGCACCTCATTTTGTCCAATGATATTGCTGGCAGCAT